GTAATAGCAAAACATTGGAAACAACCTCAATGCCCTGCATAGGAGACTGCCTCAGTAAACTATTGTATATGTGGAAACATATAAAGGTAATAAATAATGAGAAAAAGTCCTATAAACAAAAATGGAGTGATTTTCAGAATATCTTGTTAAAGCACAAAAGAGTATAGTGTGATGCCTTCTGTATAAGAAAGAAGTGCGAAGTATATATACACACATTTTTTTTTTGCAAAAAGAAACACAGGAGGATAAACCAGTGACTAATGAAATTGGTTACCTATGGGTGTGAATGGAAATGGGATGGAAGGGAATGGGCTGAGTAAATATTAATATATTTATGATGCTGGAAATCAACATTATTGCTAAAGTAAAAGGGGAAAGAGAGTGAGAAAATATAATATATAATACATGTATGTGTAAACATAAACAAATATGTACACATATATGTTTTATATGTGTATATATATATATATATATACACACACATATATACACACACACACACACACACACTCTTGTTCTTTCTACTGATAGGGCTTTAAGGCAAAGACACACCAGTAGCAGTGAACATACCTAACACATAGGATTCTAAATACCAGAACCCACTAACAAGAACCAGGGCTCCTTGGAAAAATGACTGATTCCAGGGCTGGACCAGAGAAAGTACAGGTGAGCCTGGGACAATGTTTTTGCATTCCTGCATAGGAGGTTGACTGAGCAAACTATTGTATGTGTACACGCACTCACACAAATGTAAATAATAATGAGGAAGAGATCTATAAACTGCACTGAAGTGATTTTCAGAATATCTTGTTTAGCAAAACATGCAAGATGCAAAAGGTATGCTACCCTTCACATAAGAAAGAAGAGAAGAGAAAGTTCTTTACAGAAGAATGCCAACGAATAAATATAAAGGGGATAGAAATAGAAAATCACCATTTTATTTATTTATTTATCTATTTATTTATTTTGAGACACAGTCTCACTCTCTTGCCTGGGCTAGAGTGCTGTAGTGTCAGCCTAGCTCACAGCAACCTCAAACTCCTGGGCTCAAGCGATCCTCCTGCCTCAGCCTCCCGAGTAGCTGGGACTACAGGCATGCACCACCATGCCTGGCTAATTTTTTTCTATATATATTTTTAGTTGTCCAATTTCTTTCTATTTCTAGTAGAGACAGGGTCTGGCTCTTGCTCAGGCTGGTCTCGAACTCCTGAGCTCAAACCATCCACCCGCCTCAGCCTCCTAGAGTGCTAGGATTACAGGCATGAGCCACCGTGCCCAGCCAAAAATCACCATTTTAAAACTACCATAGTAGTAACTGATTCAGCCAAGAATCATCAGTGGATGCTAGAACCACTGGGTGAAAGACTGCTGAGAAAAAGGATTTGGAGAAATCTAACAGACATAGTCTTAACAAAACTACCAAATGTAGCATCACTAGTAAAGGACAAACTGGTATCAGGTGCCTCCTTATGTGATACACCAACAAGGGCACAGCCTGCCCCATGCAGCACCCCTGCCAAAAATTTAACCTGAATATTAGGAAGAAACAATCAAGCACATCCAAAGTGAGGCATATTCTGGAAAACAATTGGCCTAGAATTCTAAGATATCAACGTCATGAAAGAGAAAAAACAAAATAAAAAACCTGAAGAATTCATCTATAATAAGGGAAACCAAAGAGACATGATAACTAAATGCAATGCACTATCCTTGATTGGATCCTGGATCTGAGAAATACAAACAACACAGGGATAATCGGGAAAATTTGAATATGGTCTGGATATTAGATAATAGTATTGTATTAATTATCATTTTCCTGGGTGGATAATTATATTGTACTTACATAGGCCAATGACCTTGTTCCTAGGGGACACATGACAAAGTAGTTAGTATGATATGTCATGATATCTCCAATTATCTTTCAAATGATTAGGGGAAAAGCGAGAGATGAAGAAATGTGGCAAAATGTTAATGACTGGTGTGAATCTAGGGAAAAGCATACAGGTGTTCATTGTACCATTCTTGTAATTTTTCTGTAGGTTTGAATTTCTTCAAAATAAAACCATGGACTTAGAGTCACAAGACCTGGGTTCAAGTCCTGACTCCTGTCTTAGCTGTATGGCCATGATCACAATCCCTTAATCTCTTAGTTTCAACTTCCTCGTCTGTGAAATGGTGACATCAAGCATACATTCCTTTGGAGACTGCTATGGGTATTGAGATAATGTATTTGAGATCCTTGTAAAGTACCAAGGGCTATACATATATTAGGTATTATGACTGTACAATGGAACCTATAGGTGTGGAGAATGTTATACATAAAGGAAGCATCAAGGTGGTGTGAGGTTAATTAGAGAAGACTTCTACAAAGATGAGAGATCTCAAAGGAGAACATGAATGTGGAAAGCATGCCAAGAAGTAGGGATGGGACAAATGAACATGGTTTGGAAGGGAAGACAAAGATACACTTTGGAAGGAGAGTGGATCCCCTGCTCAGGGGAGAGAAGTTTCCATAAGAGTTCTGAGTCCAGGGAAGTCAGCATGCCAGCTGTGTATAAGCAAGTCAGGAAGCTTCCTGAAGGAAGTGGTTTGAATAATGGATGAGAGACCACATTTGTCCAGAACAACCCTTCAGGGCCCTGGCTCTGCCCCTTGGAAGGTGAGTAGGTGGTACATGAGAAAACTGAAGACCAGATATGTAAAACTGCTTTCTTTCTTGGGCTGCACTGCAGAGCTGGACTGGCACCCAGAGCTCCTGATACCCACTCCAAACTCTAAATTGCAAAGTGCACACAAACTGATTATTATTTTCACGCTTATTATCAGTACTTGCACTGGATTATAATTTACTTAGCAAGCAGGGACTATATCAGCATAGTATTATCTACAGGGAATTCAGCATAGTATAACTTGCAAAAAAAATGTGGCTTAAAGGCGTTTGGATAATGATGATGATTATAGTATCAACAATTGACCTGTCCCAAATGGCAAATGAATATGTGTCAGGTGATTGGTGGCCCGTTCTGTACTTTTTGCATATTCCTTCAGAGAGCCGAACCCAGTGGGCCGTTGCCTTAGAAAGTCTGACCAGTGACTCGGTAACCCAAGAACCTGCCCCACTGGCTTTGTGGAGGACGACAATTCTTCGCGCTTTCTTCCCTCCAGCCTTGGGTTTTCTGATTTCTGGAATCCCTCCTGCTCTGAGCACCTCACTGCGGATATTGCCACCTCATTCCCCATACCTGGATGAAGTTCCCTTCATATTCAAAGAACAGCAGTGGCCACGTGATGCTGATGATGGAAGGGAAGAGCTTCTTCAGAGGGGTCTGAAGAGAAAGACAGAGGAGCAGGACAGGCATTTGCAGGAAGGCCTGGCTGTAACTGCCATGCAGAGCCCGCTTGTCAAGGCTGGACCCTCACCGGCAAGGACTGCCCCACAGTGCTGTGTGCCAGGGCCTGGATGTTGGTGGTCTTCTCTTTCACCTGCTCCACCAGTGTCTGCACCTCCGTGAGGTTGTCTAGGAGACGGGGAGGGCATCAGAGTCAAAAGGATGGCTGTGCAGCTATTCTTCCTGCCCCCCCCCTCCCCGGGGTCCAGTCAGGACATTCACCCCTGTCCCACCCTCTGAGTAGGTGCCCTAAGAACCCAGAAAAATGACAGCTCCTCTGAGTTACTCTACTGCCTCCATCTCCTCCTTCCATGGATCTCATCATCCCTCTCACCATCCAGAGTGAAAATGAAGACCACAGTGTCAATTTCCGTGAGGGTTGGCAGGATGGAAGTCAGGAAGTCCTCCTGGGAGAAGGAGAACTGGGGACCCTGGGGCAGAAGAAGATGGGAGAGCCCCTCGCATGAAAACACACTAGAGCATAGGCTTGAGGACTAAAGAGGACGTGGAGGGCATCTAACAGCCCTTTTGTCCACAGATGAAAAAGCTGAGGTTCAAATTGTAAGGCGTTTTGCCCAAGATGATGTAGCAAGTCAGTGGACTAGAGCCAGGTTTGGAGGGTGAATCCAGAGCTTTCCACACTGCCTGTGGCTGCCCAAAGGCTCACGACCTCTAACCCACATTCCCTCTCTAGACTATCTATCCCATCATGCTCCCCACCTCTCTCCACCTTCCCCTTGTCCTCTACCCTCTGCACACCAGTGACCTTCACACCCTCCCCGAGTCCTGTTCTCCTCCAACCTGGTTGCTGAGCTCAGCCTTCTCGTTAAACATGTCGCTGTGATCACCAATGAGAAAACCACGGATATCTCGGAAATCTGGGAAGTTTAAGGACAAGAAGAGAGGAGTGATGGGCTTTACAGAAAAGGAAGGTTCTAGGCTTTGGGAGGTGTTGATGGGGCTGGGAGGTGAGGGATCAAGGACTGAGCTGGGGTCCAAAGGAAGAAGCACTTGACAGAAATGCCTATATAGACCGGGCAGGATGGACACTGAGGAACGCCCCTTGGGTTGGGAGCAGGAGAGTGTCTGGAGGGCAGACCAACTGATTGGGATCGGGAGGAATGAGAGAGGCTGTCCACGTGGGGTCCCACCAGCGCCGAAGGTGTGGATGCACTCGACTCCGTCCATGATGGCAATGATGCCGAGGGTCTGCCAACCCACCAGGTATGCTCTGCCTTTCCTCTCCAGACTAAGGGTGGGCCCGAGGTCAGGACGTGAGCAGAGAGATGACAGTGAAAAGACACCAGAGAGGTACACAGAAGAGTACGGGAGTAAACAAAAAAAAGCTGACCATGACCCGCCACCACGCAATCCCACCGCCCTCACCATGTTGATGTGTCTCATTGCCTCCCTGCTCTAAGGTTGTTCCCTCTCCAAACACATGTCCACACACCTGGTGCTGACTTGCTTCATCAGGGTGGCAATTTTGGGGCGTTGGCTATAGGTCACCTGATGGGCCCGCTCAAATGTCCGCAGGATTTCCAGAAGGCATCTGGGAGAAAAGCCACCAGCTCCCAGGGAGGGCCCTGTGCCCCCTCAGAGAGGCTGTGTACCCCACCCCCACCCAAGTGGCAGGCAGGAGGCACAATTCCCTCAAAACTAAGTTCTGCTGGTCCCTGGTGGAGGTGAAGAGAAGAGCCAGGCTGTATCCAGGAGGGGCAGTGAGTGCTTCAGTGGGCAGAAGATGAGGGAGCAGAAGGAGGGATACGACACCAAGAGAGCCCTGGGGCAGGAGGGTCTGAGTAGGAGGGGAAAGTGAGCAGTCTGCAGGAGAGGCTAGAGACCTGGGTCAGGAAAGCAGGCCATAGCAGGACGAGCCCTGCCCTTGTGACTGACCAGGACCATCCTCCAAATCAAAGGAAGCTTGGGAGCTAGGCTAGCTTTGGAGGCCCCAGGCAGGATCAGGGATTATGTCTGGATTTGAGGAACCCAGGATCCACCGGAAACAATCCAGACTCTGTGGTTGTTTGGTGGGAGCAACAACATGCACCTGCCAGCTCCCTTCCCCAGGGGGAAGCAGTGGGGCCTCAGTCTTGCTGCCACCACCCAGCCTCCAATCTGGGCCTGCCATTCCCCTATCCACACCACCCCCCCCCGCCTGACTCTGAGCTCTCTGTTGTCCAGATCCTCCCTACCTTTGAGAGGCTTCAATGCCCCGATCCACAGTCTTATGGGCTGCTAATAACAGGGTTTCCAGCAGGATCTTGGTGGCACTTCCACCTTTCATCCGGGAGGAGCCGCTGAGACCCTCAGGCTGAGAAGCAACGACACCCAGGAGGAATCGGGAGAGGAAGGAAGACCTGGAGACCACTAGTTAGTGACCCCTGGGCCTGCATTTCATAGTACTGGTGGCCCCTGGTGTGCTGTGACAAGGAGAGCTGGGGTGGGCTTGATTGAGAGCAGGAGAGAGAAGGAAAGGGTCTCCTCTGCTTATGCCTCTGGCACACTCAGGACTCTGAGGGGAAGAAATCACAGGCATTGGGATCCCTTGTCAGCTGGGCCAAGGATTTTTCAGAGAGTGCCTTTCTTTCTAAGAAATTTCTCTCCCCACCTCCCCCTGACCACCTTGTTTGTGGTATTAATAGTTTGTCAATCCAAATACCACATTTCGTATGCTTTGGACAGATCAATGAAGCAGCCACTGCAATAGTACAGATATGGAACACAGCACACCAAACAAAGATTACAGCAAAGAGAATGACAGAAACAGTGACTGAGGAAAGAAGGCTGAAAGTCAACAATTGCAAGGAAAGAGAGATGAGCATTTGGGAGGTGAAAGTATGGAACTCTCAAGTAATATGGAATTTTAACTTCCTATCTCACCAAATGCAGAAAATGTCACAAATGTGACATTCTCCCTGGTAGAGAGAGGCACCGGCAGGGTCTTGGCTAAGGCCCTTGTAAGGCCCAAGTAAGCATAGATGGCGCTAGTGAAATGCATCCAAGTCCAAGGAAGAAAAAGGAACAGGAGCTCGGCAGGCCAAGCCTCTCCCATTCAGTTTTGGAGAGGATTTAGAAAGACAGAAGAATGAAACTGTATCCCATTTTTTTTAAAGCTCATATTTCAAATTTAAATATATAAAAGAGACAGAAAGAGATCTAACAATGGCTATTCAATGTTTTCTATAGACAGATGGAAAAGAGGTTTTTTAAACAGAAACTGCCCTAGGTCACCACGACCTAGGGTCGATTAAGACAGGGTCAGAATGAAGATGAAATATCATAAGGTAAAAAATTAATTGAGAAAATAGGATTTGATATATAAAATTTTAGTTGACACACAATGTCTGAGGAATTTAAACAAGATGTAACAGAACCTAAAATCAGAGGCCCCAAGGAAGTAGCAGGCAATTTCCAGGTGGTTGGAGGGGAGTGCATAGAAAAAGAAGACAGAGGTCCTACCCCGACTGCAGGATTGAGCACAAAAGCTTTCTGTTTCTCTTGCATTTTCTGCATCCGCTCTGCTACTTGTTGGAATGTTGAACTCCAGTCTTCAATGGGGTCATTTCTGGGCTCCAGAGAGATACAAAGATGGAGGGATTGTCTGTGAGGATCTAAAGGAAGGGCCTCAGCTGGGAATCAGGATCAAAGAACACATTGGGAAGGGAGTCAGAGGTCAATAACTTCATAGAGAGCTGTGTTTTGGAGCTGGTAGGGGCACCATGTCCCTGAACCCTAAGGACAGAGGTTAATCAAACATTCAGCAACTTAAGCCGAGAGCAAAGCCAACGCTCAAGTTTAAAGTTCCAGCCTGTGAACAAAAACCTTCTCGTATCTTGGTCCTTGCATAAGCCTCACTGCCATGGCCACACTAATCTCATCCTCCGTAAGGCCCCTGGGGGAATGCCTGAAATCCAAATGTAAAAATTGCCACCTTATTTTCCATTTTAGGATCCATGAGAAGCTCTTCCCATCCCTGAAAATATATTCTGGAGATCCTTCCAAAGAGTGAGCCCTCACTACCTGAGGGAGGGATAACAGTCTCTAGTGAGGGAACCAAGCTGCCAGGTTCAAAGTGTATGTAGCACCCAACAGTTGGCGAACATTCCTTCAGTGAATTAATCAGGAACAAATCAATGTGTTAATGAGACAAGAGAGCTACCGGCATGTTATCTGCTTAGTCATAAATCACAGGATCTCAAAGAATGAGGATCCTCTTTAGTTGATCTCTAATGGTTTTGCTGGGGGATCATTTGTGAATCCCCCATGGTGGGAGGATGGACGTCAAAGAGTTACCTCTGTGTATGGCATCCCTTAACTTCCCCTTCATGGCCCATCCCTGCAAAGATTCCATCCCTTCTTGAATGATTTTTGTATTTTTCTTCTGTATTACTTCAAGGGCAGACAAGTTTCATACACATTGTATAAAGTGTCTCCTATCATCTGTCCTCAGACTAGTTCTAAAACCTCCTAGAGACCTAAGAAAGAGGAGGCTGAAGCAGAGGGAGGAGACAGTGTCCATATTGCATGGTTTAAAACCGAGATTCCCAAACGTGGCTGGACATCAAAATCACCTGAGAAGTTTTGTTTTTTTAATAACTACCCATTTGTGGGTACCACGTCCACCCTGAGATTCAGATTCAGTAGTTCTGGAGTGGAGCCCCAAAATCTGTTTTTAAAAAGCTTCCCAGACGACTCTGAAAATCAGCCAAGTTTGGGAGCCACTGACTTAAGGAACAACTGGAAGATCTCCACGCCTACATTGTTTGAGATTCTTCATTTCACTTAGTCACAGGGCCTGAAATTAGCATCCACTGCAGCAGATACATTTTTGGCTAAGGAGAGTCCTCCACGAAAAGGATCAGGGTTAGGAGTATTTCAGATTCATTTACGCCTGTGCATGAATTATACTACAAGCCTGGGAGCTGGAAAAGCACCTCAGAAAGAACCCAGTTCCCTCCCCAGACCACCACTAAATACAAAAAGCTGCTCTGAAATAATCAACAAGCCTTCGCTAGAACCCCTCCAGTGACAGGAAGCCCTCGGCTTCACCAGGTGGCCCACTCCAATGGTTTCTTTAGCAGAGTTCCCCAAACCTGGCTGTGTACCAGAATCTCCAGGGATGCTTTCAAAAAATAGATATTTCAGGGCCTTCTTCCTACAAAATCAGACCTCTTACACAAGGGGCAAAGAATCTCCTTTCTTCCTTATTTATTTATTTTTTTTAACACTTCCCAGGCAGCTTATGCACAGAACCACACCTGAGCACTATTGGTTTCATGTTGACTTTCTCTGAGATCAGGCAAGGTGGCCACTTAGAGAATAAGAGGGAGGTAATTTGGTAAGGAAGGGCTCTTAGGGAAGGGAACAGGTGGGAGTAGCCAGAGGGGGCAAAGGGGGGCCTGGAATGATGAGAGAGAATGGGCACTAAAATAAGAGTGCTGGAAAAAGAGGAGACCCCTCGGCACCCACTACCACGACTTTGAAAAGATGCTTGGGGCTCTCCCCAAATGAAAGCACAGATCTCTGTGGTATGCATTTTCCTGACCCCATCTTATCCTCCAGCCCATGTCTTCCTGACCTCTTCAATCCCTGTTTTGAATGTCTGCTATCTTATATTTTATATATCCTTTACAAGTTGCCTTTAATCCTTTCTGAAATAAGAATAATTAAATAAACCAAGCAACAAAACAAAACAAAAAAAAACCTTGTAAACTTAGGGACACCTCATATTTCATTTAATATTCGGAGATTTGGTGACTATATTCACCTAAGACTATATTCACCTATCCTCTCCCTTGTGAGCGTACTATAGACTTTGACATGTTCCCTTCCAGCTTGCCCCAGGGCTGGCCAGTCATTACTGAAGGCTCACCTGGCCATGCTCACTGGATTGAAACCAACCAGGACTGGCAAGAAGACAGCTGTGTTATCCATGCAGTAGTCCATCTGACCTGCCACAAAGGGAGCCTGGTGGTAGGAGAGAGAAGGGCATGACAAGGTTACGCTGAGCGGTGCCCAATGCCCACGTGCATCAGAATCCTCCAGAATGCTTGTTCCAAATGCAGATTCCTAGGCTCACTTGTAATCTACTGGATACAATTTTGGAGTTTGTCCTCTTAGGTCTGTGGTGGCCTCTAGGGAGGGGACAGAAGATAGTGCCCTGCACGGGATTGAATTGAAAAAGAGGGCCCACATTTTTAACAAGTACCCCAAGGAAATCTGCAAAATCTGAAAACTATTGAACTAAATTGTAAGCTCCTTGAAGTCAATATCCTGTTCTCCTTGTGTGCCTCCTTCCACATCTAACACTGCTGGAGCCTAGTTTCTGCTCAGTGAATACTTAGCTGCAGAGTTGAGAGGAAACTTGGGGTCATATAGCTCAGTGCTTTTCAAATAAACTATCTGGGAATCTTGGTGGTGGGAGCGGGCAGGCGTTGAGATTTTGCATTTCTAACAAGTTCCAGGTGATGCTGATGTTGCTGGTGCAGGGACCATACTTTTAGTAGCAGGAGACTAGTCCAAGGGCCAGATTTTTCTATAAAGGGCCAGTGAGTAAATACTTTAGGCTTTGTGGGCCCTATGATCTCTGTCCAACTACTCAACAATATGGTTATGGCATGAAAGAGGCCACAGACCATATGTAAACACAAATGGCTGTGTTGCAATAAAACTTTATTCATAAAAATAGGCAGCTAGCTGGATTGGTCTGCCAACGCAATTTGCTGACCCCTGGACATCAACAACCAACCTATCTTGGTTTCTGATGGATCGATACACAGTTATTCTGAGATAGAATCCCTTCCCCTTTTCCCACATTCATACATCTGGATCCAAATTAATGAAACAAAAACCAGAATTCTTTTTTTTTTTTTTTTTTAAGACAGAGTCTCACCGTGTTGCCCGGGCTAGAGTGCCGTGGCGTCAGCCTAGCTCACAGCAACCTCAAACTCCTGGGCTCAAGCAATCCTTCTGCTTCAGCCTCCCGAGTAGCTGGGACTACAGGCATGTGCCACCATGCCCGGCTAATTTTTTCTATATATTTTTAGTTGTCTGCTTAATTTCTTTCTATTTTTAGTAGAGATGGGGTCTCGCTCTTGCTCAGGCTGGTTTCTAACTTCTGAGCTCAAACAATCCACCCGCCTCGGCCTCCCAGAGTGCTAGGATTACAGGCATGAGCCACTGCACCCAGCCTAAAACCAGAATTCTTGAGCAAACTTTCTATGTTCTAGCACCTACCTTGTTGACCTATTTTCCATGCTATTCCATCCCCACCGACTTCCTCCCTATAAAATGGATCCACTCACAGAGAGTCCCACCGAAATGCCAATGACGATCACCTTCTTCTTCCCAGCAGCCACCTAGGTGAAGGGGATGGCCAAGGTAGTCAACTGGGAGAACCCCAGGGCATAAACCCATTGTGTGAGGATATCAGGGCAAGGACAAGGGGAGGCATAGGCTTTGGCTGAAGGCTGGAGCTTTTATGTCCCCATGAGAAGGAACATGCAGAGGCCTCTGGGTGAGTATCAGTGGAAAGCACAGACCTTCTTCAGTAATTCAATCCCGTGCAGGGCACTATCTTCTGTCCCCTCACTAGAGGCCACCACAGACCTAAGAGGACAAACTCCAAGTCAGTGACACTGGTTGGGAAAGAAGCCTATGATTTATTAGGGAAGGCTATATTAAGAGAAGGGAATAAAGGGAAAATTGTCATTGAATGAGCACCTACTGTTTGTTGGGCACCATGATAGACACTCCATAGAGTTGAAAAACCCAAATACTTGACGTGGGCCAAGCGTAAGGCAATATGAAATGGTGGGGACCAAGGAAAACTAGACACAATCTCTGTCTGAAAGCATTCAAATCCAATTTCTAAAAATCACTATTCAGACCAAATGAAATATTCCTAGGCCAGCTTAGCTTACCTGTCACCCCCTGCAATGAGGTAGGTGTAAAGAGGTTTCTGTCTAAGGCCTTTCATCAGCTGGTTAAAGGAGACCTGTCAAAGGGAAGAGGATGTGAAGAGGTAATGATAATGAAGGAACAATTATCTTGGATTTTCAGCTCCTAGAGGGCAGAGGCTGTATAATGATTCTCTTAGACCAGGGCTTAACCTAGTCCTACATGGAATCTGGCACTTAAAGATGGTACTTGCAGATGATTAATTGGGGGTACGTGGATACAGAGATGTTGGCAATAGACTGGTGGAGGTCAGATGGGCTCAGAAGGAATGGAACTCCCTGGTGAGATCTAGCTCCTGGAAGAAAGAGAAAGCCAGGCCTGGAGCCCAGGTCTAGTGATGGATCCACCTGGGAGCTTAGCTATGATGAACTTTATGGTCCTGAAGGTCACCCCCAGAACGAGGAGGAAGGAAAACTGGGGAACAGGGTACTCACCGACAGGAGGAATGCCATCCGGCCTGAGGTACCCCCTCCACTCAGCACTACCAGGCCCCCATCTGGCTCCTGGAGGAAGGAAAAACGCCTAGGTCACCAGGGCCCAGGAAGCATATTCTTTTCTTTGTTAGTAATGGACGGGGAATTGGAGAGAATCCTTAAGCCTCCTCTCATCACAGAATTGAACGAAACATGGGCAGTGTGGTGTAGCAAAAAGAACACTGGACTGGAGAAAGAAACTTCAATTTGACGCCCATCTCTGGCTCAGTTCTCTTACTTACTCAAACCCTTACTTATTCCAGAAAGGACTGAAAGCAGCTTTGTCACCTAAATAAATAATAAAAGTAGCCTTATCCAGCAATGGTTAGCCAGCTGTATTTGAGCAAGCTACAGTGATTATCCTTTCTAAGTCTTTGTTTTCTCATCTGGAAAAAAAAACAGACAATAACATCAACTTCACAGTTTTTTTGTGAGAGTAATGGGTGTGAAAATACAGTGTAAATTTTAAAGTATCAAGCAGATAATAGTTATCATTATTATTGATTATTAGCAATAAGATGACAATAAGGATCTGAAATGGAGGACCGGGGAAAAGGAGACCTGCGATCTATAAAAGTGAGAAATAGAGACCAAAATAAGAGAAAGTTAGAGGGAAACAGAAAAGTTTAGGCAGGGAGCAGACAGAGGCTTAGTACCTTCAGTATTTCCTGAACTTTCCCAGCCACTTGTACCATGGTGGTCAGAATTGATTCGCTGTAGAGTCGCTGTAGGGAACAGGCAGGAATCAGAAGCCAAGAAAAGGAGGACAGTGGATTGAGGTGGGGTGCTGGAGGGTACACAGGGTTTCCAAAACAGGAGCCATAGTCTCAAAAGGCAGAGGCTGAGGTGGCGTCTTTATTTGCAGTGTCCAGGAGATGGGTGTGGGTCACCTGGTATGTGGGCATGCCTTGCCCCTCCTCCTGGAAGATCTCAGCATCACATTGCCCCAGCAATTGAACAATTTTTTCAGCATCTGCTTTGTCCAGGTCCTGGGTCAATGGGTTTGACTTCTCTGTGATTGGCACAGCTGCCTCATATCCAGACAACTAGAGGGAAGAGGGGACAAGGATGGAGGCAGGAAGTCAAAGCCTCATTCATGCCTGCTGGCGGGGGAGTGGCAGCAGGTCTCAGCATTTGGACTCACACACACACACATACACACACCCTACACCAGAAACCCAGCCTGCACCTGGTACTCTGGGCCTATTAAGAAAAGATTAGGAAGGAAGATAGGAAGGAAGAAGGGGTGAGCAGAAACCCAGGGTGGAAGGAAGTCCAGATGAAAAATGATGCTAGGAATCAGTGCAGAAAAGCAACATGGAGAAGGGGTCTCACCTCCCACTTGCCAGGCTCCGGGGTCTCAATCACATGTTGAAACCGTTTTGTGGCCGGCATGGTCCTGCACTGTAGACACACTGTCCTGCCTGCCTCTTTAGCCACACAAACCCCTCTGGTCACAATGACTTTGCTTCCAGCTGGCAGGGCCTTATCTGAGCCACAGTGATGATTAACCCAAGAACCCCAGCCTCTCTGAGCACCACCCCTGCACCTCTGCCTGCACCACCCTCTCCTGGTCACTAGGACTCCAGGCCTCTGGTAACCCCAGGGAAGCTCCTGGGGTTCCACTTCACATGCACTCTCACTTGCCAGCCTCTGCTTTGGCCCCTGAAGAGGAAGACCTGAGGTTCATTACTCTTGCCGTTTAGACACAAGGACCTATTCTCTGGAGGACCTAGAGCCTGGGAGTGCAAGACAACATCCAGTGCAGCAAGAATCCCCGGGCAAGAGTACTCTGGGACCAGGATGCCTTAGGAGGCCAGAGATCAGGGTCCTCGGGTCAGCAGAAGTTAGAGGACCTGGCTCATGGCTTGATCACATGCTCAGCACACACAGTCCCCTCCTGTCCCACTGGTCCTAGATTTCCCTGTCCTCTCAGAAACGAAAGCTTCTGAATCCCAGAGTGCACACATTGACCTGGATATTACAGGGGAAAAAAATGCCACAGAAATAGAAATACTGCACTGAGAATTAGAAACCAAAAAATCTGCCCTAAATACAACGTTAGTCAACATTTATTTACACTGAACAACACGCTTTTCACATGCAGTATCCCATTGGCTACAACACCACGAAGAAGTCGATATTGATGATTTTTCAGACGATGAAACTGAAGTTCAGAGAAATTGAATTGGTTGCTTAAGATCACACAGCTGGTCAAATCGGGAGTCACACCCAGGTTCTCACTCCAGATTTCATGCTTCACCAAATCATGGAATAATTTAAAGATTTACATGTTTATTGATTGAACAAAGTAACAAATTGATGCAAATTAATAATCACTCATTCACATAATGTTGTAAGATTTATAAAGATCTTTCCCCAACATTGTTTCATTTGAACTCGCAACAGACCTGTGAAGTTTCATATGCTCTGCTTTACAGGTGGAAAACCTGAGGTGCAGATTAACCAATTTTTCCAAAACCATACAGTAAGTGGCAGGGTTTACCAAAAAAAAAAAAAAAAAAAAAGGCCATAGGTTTTTGCTCTTTAATTTCCCCTAATTCCCCCATAAGCCCAGCACTTTAACAATCATTGTATCTCCAGCTTTTTAACATAATGCCAGACACATAGGAGATACTCAATAAATATTTGCTAAATAAATGAAAGAATGAATGAGAAAGCGAACGGAATTAAATCAGATTATGAATGGGAAAGAGACTTAAAAGCTGACGCAATCTACAAGTAAGAGATTGTTAAAACAATTATCATCTCGATCACTCTGTCCCCTCTCCTCTGAGCCCCTCCCGCACCAGAGGTGGAATTCCTCCTCCTAACTTGGCTAATTCCATCCGAGGAGGGAGGGGACCTCCCAGACGCCCAAGACCCTCGCACCTGCGCCTCGTCGGTTCCCCGGCTTGAGCCAGGGGAGAGAAGGGATGGGGGCCCGGGAGGCCGCCAAGGGAGGGTCGTGGGAGGAGCCCCGGGAGCACAAGGGGGGAGGGGGGATGACGGCGGCGAGAACCCCGGCGGGGCGGGGCGGGCCCGCACGTCCCGGCCGGGCTGCGGCGGAGAGCGCGGGGCCAGCTCTGCAGAAGGCGGCGGCTGGCTGGCCGGGACGGTCACATCCCGCTGCAGGGGCCGGAGAAGGCAGCCGCACTGCCTCCCGCACCGGGGACCCGGGCCAGCCGCCAGGCCGCGCCGGCAACGCCCCCTGCTCCGGGACAGACTACGCGGCGAGTCCCAGCGCTGGGGGCTCCGCAGACCCGCGGCCGGCGCCCGCTCCGCCTCTGCCCCGCAGCTCGGCCCCGCGCTGCCTGCCTCGCCCGGCCCGCGCCGGGATGGGGTAGGGGCAGCGCCACAGAGCCGGGCGATGGGCCGCCCTCTGGGCACCGAGCAGCCCCCCGAGGCCTGACCGACCGCGAGGACAGGCGGAGGTGGGTGTGGGCAGGGCAGACCGCGCAGGGGGGGCGCCCGGGTACTGCGGGGGCGGGGAAGGCAGGGCGGGGGGAAGATGGGGCTTTGTGGGCCATGGGGAGCCCGGGAGAGCTGCTGCCTGCCATGCGTGCTGAGCAGTCCTTGACCCCCCACACACAACTCCTGCCACCTCCAGGAGCCCCGCCTGGATGTCAAGCGGATGCCCCAGTTCCCCTCAGCGGACTTGGTGGGGACCATGGCTTCGTTGATGCCCCTCTCCCCATATCTAAGTCCCACGGTCCTCCTGCTGGTCAGCTGTGACCTGGGCTTTGTGCGAGCAGGTGAGTACAGAGGGTTGCTGATGGGGGTCAACCGGAGCTAGTCTGTGGGTGAAACCTGTTAACACCCTGGCTCCCACAGACCGGCCTCCCTCTCCTGTGAATGTGACGGTCACTCACCTCAGAGCCAACTCGGCCACTGTGTCCTGGGACGTCCCAGAAGGCAACATCGTCATTGGCTACTCCATTTCCCAGCAAGTATGAATCACCCTTCTGCTCCCCCAACCTGTGTCCTTGGATCTCTGGACGTTCCTTCAGCTACCTCCCCCCAAACTGCTCTCCCAGAGGTGGGGGAATCTGGGAGCTGGTGTTTCCTGGCTCAAGCTGCTCTTTTCACCCTATACCCTGGAGTGTTTGGATGTTCAAAAGTCCGGGGTTGAACCTTGCGGCCTGGCGCTGGGGCGAGGCTGTCCTCCTCTCCCATCATCTCCCTGCAGCGGCAGAATGGCCCCGGGCAGCGTGTGATCCGGGAGGTGAACACCACCACTCGGGCCTGTGCCCTCTGGGGCCTGGCTGAAGACAGCGACTACACGGTGCAGGTCAGGAGCATCGGCCTTCGGGGAGAGAGCCCCCCAGGGCCCCGGGTGCACTTCCGAACTCTCAAGGGTTCTGACCGGTTACCCTCAAACAGCTCGAGCCCAGGTGAGGGTCTGTGCGATAGATTATCTGGCTTCTTTCCTGGCTTTTAGCCTCTTATTTACTTCCCTAAGCCAAGCAACAGTCTAGCTTAGATGAATAGAAGGGTGATTTAATTCACTGTACTGCCAGGAAAGAAAGGAAAAGCAGGTGGGCAGCAGACCGGGTACAGACAGGCTGGTATTGAATTGTCTGTGGGAAGGGCTTTTAAGCTTCCTTTTACCCAACCTCATTTCACATCAGCTGCAACCTGCATAAGTGAGTACCTGACCTGCAGCCGTCCTGCTTTTTGGTCTTTAACCACCTGTCCACCAATGGCTTCCTCCCAGAGAGGGGCTACCCTACAACTCAAGGGTCTACTATCATGGGTCTACTCTGACTCTAATCCCCAGCACCTCCATCGTGCATATGTCTGCATAGATAGAGCTGTTCCCCAGTAACCCGGAGTCTGGCTTCTCCCTTCTCAGGTGACATCACAGTGGAGGGTCTGGATGGAGAGCGACCACTGCAGACCGGGGAAGTGGTCATCATTGTGGTGGTGTTGCTCATGTGGGCTGGTGAGTAAGCAGCTAGATGGGGGACCAGGGACTTAGGGAGTGGGTCTCAGTGAAGGTAGGAGGTGACAAAGGTTGTCAGGAGAAAAGGGAGTGAGAGAAATGGAGCAGGGAGATGCTTAGTTGAAGGGGGATCATCAGGAGAAGTTTGAAGAGAGGAAGAGGAGGCCGTTTGGAGCCAAGAGAGGAAGATTTCACAGGCACCAGGAATTCAAGGATTTTCTTCTTGGATTTTTCTAGAAGCTGTGTGGCTGTCTCACTCCCTTCAAGGCTGTGAGTGGGGAGGTCAAGATGAAGGCTCAGATCGTATTGTTGTGTTTCAGCTGTAATTGGGCTGTTCTGCCGTCAGTATGACATCATCAAGGACAACGACTCCAACAACAACCCCAAGGAGAAGGGGAAGGGGCCAGAACACAGTCCTCAGGGAAGGCCAGTGGGGACGAGACAGGTGATGTGGGGGCCGGCCATTGAGGGAGGGAAGGGTGATTCTGCCCCTGAGGAGCAGCCAAAGAAAGGAAGAAGGCCAAAGAGGGGCAGGAAAACATGGAGAATGGAAGGCCTGGGGTGGAGGATGCTGGAGAGGAAAAGTGGCTCCCATTGCTTTCCTGAAGTTAGAGACTCAGGCCATTTTCTTTCACAGAAAAAGTCACCATCCATCAACACCATCGACGTTTGAGTGAAGAAACAGAACCAGAAGGGAGATGCACTAACAACCCGGGGATGGGGATAGGGTCAGGGAGAGCCTAAGATGGTGATCTGCCAGAGACTTCCAGAGGGTAATGACACTCCCACAATCTCAGGCCTGGTACCCATCCTCTTTCCACTGTGAGCAGAGCCAGAAGGTAGGTCTGTTAGAGTCTGCGCTCCTGGACCTGGGGAGTGGATATCAGATAGGATATCTCCTCCCATCCCCCAGGTCCAGGGGAGATTCACTTGTTCTACCCTATCCCATCAGGTCCCAAATCGGGGCCCCATTTCACCTGTATCAGGACTCTTGGCATCCCCAGCTGCCCCCACATCTTGCCTCTGGGGTGTTTCTGTGGGTACTTCCCTTCCCGCAGCCAAATCAAAGGAATCTTCTGGGCCTAGAGGCAGATGCTGCACTGCACTACTCCAATGTCTTCCATGGAGCCTCAGGTGCTCCCCCTCACCTGGCAGCCCCTTCAGCTGCTGGTGATCTCACCCCTTGGACGTTTTTCCAATAAAGGTTCTTGGACAAACTGGAGCTGACTGTATGGTATACTGTATAGTATGCTGAAGACATTTCTCTCCTGACTCTCCAAGGGCCCCTCACACCACCACCAACTTGATAGGAGCAGACTGTCACTGTAAAGTGTTTGCTTGGATTCTCCAGCCTGGAATGGGTGGAGAGGGACCAGGAAAAAGGGGTGTAGAAAACTAGAGCCCTAGTTTCTTTTGCTTTGTTGGGTAAGAAGGGGGTAAAAGAGAAGAGAAAGATATAAATTCTTCCTGCAGTGGAAACTAAGTATGTCACGTGAGAAGGCCAGTAGCCTTTTTATTGTCACTGCTCACAACGACAGCCCAGCTCCTCACCGTTTAGTCTTCTGACTCCTCCATCAACCCTGGGTGAATGGTCAGAAAAGGACTGAGCAGTGACTTGGGGACTAACGAAAGAGCAGCTACACTAACGGATTCTTCAGTGGCATGTGCTCCTATCCTGTGTGTTCCTCTGTCTATTCTTCCCTCCTTTGCTTTCCCTTTCATCTTTTCCTCTTTCT